ACAATACAAATGGCATTTCATTAATCACTCATTAGTGGTAACAAAGAGTAAAGACAGACATGTTTTGCGGGAATGCTCTCCAAAACAATGGACGCGTTTGAGTGTTGCTGTTGTTTGAGATAACATAAATGGATCTGATATTTCACGTCAATCTCTTGGTTCAAGTCCTGTAGGGAACCGTTGCTCTGACTCTTGCGCTTACTCTTCGGCGTATTCTTCTTCAGAGATAACGCCCTGTGATATACGCGCTGTCGAGGAATAGACAAACACATGGATTAGCGGCGAAGAGTACAGACCATACAGTGTTGGACACAAACCTCTGCTTTTCGGTAATCTTTGGTGCGATAGAGAGCGTCGCCGAAGAAGACGAGGGCTTTGTATTCATTGGTCGCCGAAAAGAGTTCGCAAATGGAGTCCATTTGTGGTGACAAGAGATTCATCTGAGAGACAAAGAGTGACACAAAGAGTGGTAACAAACATGTGATATGTATTTGTCATAATTGACGGACCAATTGGACTAAATTGGTGTACAACTCATCCGAATGTAATTGTCTTATGTGTTCAAACAGTGACGAAGACATGATGTCTGGCGACGGCTGTGGTGTCGACCCGAAGATCACCGGAAGAATGAGTCGGTGTTTGTGTCCAAAGTCTTGTCCGGAAAAAAGTTGTCCAAAAATTATTGCATAAAAACAAACAAACGATTCAATCGTTCAATGAATGCCTCGATAGAGGTCTCCGCCGGAGTTTGCGCTTTCAATAGAAGGGCTTAACTCATACACCCATTTGACGGATAGTTACGCCCTTTCGATGCGTGCATTAAATTGTGCGCAAAATTCGAGCGCAATATTTGTGTCGCAAAAGAATATTCTTTGAGTTGTTTTTCACGAAACGATTCATTCATTTGTTGTCCAAACAAAACGAGTCAATCATATCTTGAGATCAGATGTCATTCAACGACAACAACAACAACACGATGTCATCGATTGACTCATTGGCAGACAAAGAGCTGGTCATCGATGAGTGTCCTGTGGATCAGATCCGCAAAGAGTTGGACTCATTTGACAAACAAATTAAGGAAATGTGGGATCAAGTGATGCGAATGAATGGTAAGCGATGGCCGACTCTATCGAGTGGTCATCTCTTTTGGGATCCGTTATGTCATGTGTTTTGTTGTCCTCTGATTGTAGTGGAGGTCGGAGTACTAGTGGTGGACATCGCGTCCAAAGACGAGCCCTTAGAAGTGCTCCACAAGTGGAAGGAAGTGGTGGCCAAAGAAGCGGAGATTACGGGCCAACTCGTGCCCAATGAAGAGCCGCCAAAGGAGGACGACATCAAACCCACTGAAGAGATCAAAGAAGAGATTAATTGATGTTTTTTGCGCTTTTGTTTCAACTGTTTATCACTTTTTTCATTACATTTTTGACTTACATTTAAGAGTAGATATAAATTGATTAAAAATACTATAAATTACTTATAAATACATTAAATATTAATTAAATATGAAGTAAATATTATAAATGACTTAAATTCAAGAATAAATTACTTTAATTGTAAATTTGTTTATTTTTAAAATTTAAAAAAAAATCCTAATAATAGTAATTGTCATTCAATTTAAGAATATTTAATACATTATTGACATTTCGAAATCAATTCGAAATATTAATTTCAAATAATTATTGATATAAACGTTAAAATTTTAATCAATGCAATCACGAAGGACTCAACTGAACACTAGTTTGCATAACCAATAAACCAAAACATTTTAAAACATATCTATATTTTAATCGATAATTCAATTT